AGTTTGAGTTCCTGTTCTGACTGCCTTGGATGATGAAGTGAATGGTGATATGGAGGTGTAAAGAAAATTAACCCTTTCCTCTCCACATTGCTCTTAGTGTTTCATCATAGCAATAGAAATCCTAAGACGGTCATAGGGGATGGTATGCCCCCGCCCCCAAGAGTAAAGAGGAAGGGAGGAAAGATGGATGCAGTGGAACCCTGACCATATCTGGTCTTTGGGCTACCTGCAGTCCTGCCGAGCAAGCGAGGCTCGAGAAAGCCCCAGGAACAAATGCTCAGTGCTGGCACCTTTGAGATGATTCAGTCTAACTCAGGTGTCATAGCAACTCACATGTCTCTAACTCTCCACTGAACTCTTCAGCTTGGAAAACCTTTCTGGGAGGGTGGAGCCAAGGACAAAATCTGGCCATGGCTTTGCTGTTTGAACCTGCTTCTCTGACAGCAGTCTCCTGGCCATGTGGCATCTTTTCAGTTGGCTGATGCTTTTCCAAGTATCCTTCTGGGAAGTCAGGACTCCGGGTTGATTCCGGGTTGACCCTGACATGGGTCTTCTGCGTATGCAGGGTGGGGCCATTTCACCTTTCTGAGCACCACCTTCCTAATCTGTAAAGTTCCCTTTGAATAAAAGCTCCGTGGAGCCTGAAGGTAGCTTGCTGGTAAAGAACTTGCCAAGCAAGTGTGAAGTCCTGAGTTTGGTACCCAGAATCCATGTGGAGGAAAGGGGACCTAGTGGCATGCACTTGTAATCCTAGTGCTGGGGAGGCAGAGCACTGGGGCTTACTGGCCAGCTGGCCTAGCCTGTTGGCTGAGCTCCAAGCTGGAGGAAGACATGGTCTCAAAACACAGGTGGACAGCAGCTGAGTTATGACATGTAAGGTTGTCCTCTGGCCTCTACACAGACATGCACTAACACACACACACACACACACACACACACACACACACACACACACCTCTTCTGCAGCTCTCTGCATGTATATCTTTGACTCTCTCTGGTGCTAGAAGATGAGGCTGAGACAACCTGTGTTTGTGTTTTTAACAGATACGTCTGGAGAATGAACAGCTCTATAATAGCAGGCTGATTCAGGCCGTGAGGGACGGCCTTGTGCCTGACTTTCAGAAGACACACCTGGATTCAGACTTGGACCGTTCTTCGGACAGAACCTTTTGCAGAGGATTCAGCCTTCTGGGGCCTTTGCCATTGTTTAGAGACTGCAGGCCATTGCAGAATGTTTATGAGGACACTCAATGCTGAGCTGGGGCAGGAGCAAAGCCCTTTTGGGGGAAGAAGCAGTGAAACACAGGAGGGGTGCACAGGGATACCCTGAAACTTGGAAAGCACCACGGCCTCCTTTAATCCCACTGGAGGTGAATACGACACCTGCATCAGCCACTCCTGCTACAGAAAAACCAAATACTTCTCACCGCGGAGAGAATAACAGACGGCTTGTTTTAGAGTCACCTATGAGTGACCGTGGTGTGGGAACACAGATCAGGTCACCCTGAATATCACATTCCAATGTGAATGAAAGAGTGGACGTGACCACTCCTAGGTCTAGTTGGGAAGGTTGGGGATGTGAGGGAGAACACAGCCAGAGGGATCTAGAAGGATCCAGATTGAACCGGGCCAGTAGACTTTACCAAACCAGGAGAGAAGAGAGGGGGCAGGGTGGTGAGAGAGGAAGAGAAGAGCCAAGGGATGAAAGGACACATAGCCAATATGGCTGAGTTATATAGGAAGAGAAGATGGGGGTTAGGGGGAAGGAATGAGGGCTCAGGGCCTGGAAAGGTTTGGGGTAGGGGGCAGGGTGTGCCAGCCAGGATAACGCTGGCTGAGACGGGTGCTTCTGAGTAGGGAGAGACTGGTGACTGTGCCTGGTTTGATATGGTAAACAGGTGCCTCACTTAGCCCTTTGCCCAGGTTTCTTTGGGACCTAACACGAGGTGATGTTTTTATAGCAACAAAACAACAAGATCAGTCAAGACGCTTTTCAAATATACGGTGGGAACATCTAGTGGGTGGGTCACAGCAAAGGGACATTCCTGCTACAGGCCTCAGATGCCCTTTGTAGGGAATCTGTGTGTAGATTCTAAAAAAATGTACCTAATGGTCACAGGGTCTTAGGCCACACATGGGGCTGAGGAATAAATTGCTGTTTAGGGAGTTAAGCCCAAGATAACTTGGTTCTGAATCTGTACCATTCCAACTCTCTACAATCATTGAAGTTTTAATCAGCCAATCAGCCTTGTAGAATGTTAATGTGTACACAGCTTTCCCTACTCCCCCTGAGAAATTCCATTCACAAAGCTTTAATGGGAAGATAAGATTGTGGTTGGGGGAGCTGGAGAGATGGTTCAGAGCACTGGCTGTTCTTCCGAAGGTCCTGAGTTCAATTCCCAGCCACCACCTGGCAGCTCACACCTGCCAATTCCAGAGGATCTGGTACCTTCACAGACATACATGCAAGCAAAACACCAATGAAAATAAAGTAAATAAATTGTAAAAAAGAAAAAGATCGTTGCTGGGCTCTTGCTATGAGATCACCCTAGGTGTACTGCATACCCTTATTGATCTGAGGAGAAAAATGAAAGAGATGTGAGACACACAGAGAAGATAGACACAGAAATCCTGTGAACACAGAGGCAGAAAGTAGGGTGGGAACAAGCCAGGGGATGTCGGGAGTTGCCAGAAACTGGGGGAGGCCAGAAGATGCTGCCCCCAGGACAGTGGTCCTCAACCCCTTGGGGGTTATGTATCAGGTATTTCCATTATGATTCATAACAGCAGCAGAGTTACAGTTGTGAAGTAGCAACGAAATAATTTTGTGCTCGGGGGTCACCACAACATGAGGAACTGTATTAAAGGGCCACAGCGTTATGAAGGTTGAGAACCGCTGGCCTAGAGCCTTCCCAGAGAGCACTGCTCTGCCGATACCTCGTTTCCTCCAGGACCATGGCAGGATTTCCATAAAAGTTCTCGGAGTCCAAGGCAACTGGTGGGAACAGCTTTGGGAAAGGACCACAGGGCCGCCTAACTTCAGCACAAAGCGATGGCTTGGTGAGCCTGCAGCTGACTCAGACTCACTTTCTGTTTACAGAGGGTTTCTTATCTCTCTCTCTCTTCCCTCTCTTTCTCCCCTCCCTTCGTTTCAGTCCCAGCATGCACCCCATCCTGATGTTCAGTCTGATTACCCATGGAAATTTCCCCTACTGAGCTGATTAATCAAAATACCAAGTCATTCATATCACACTTAGTCCTGATCGCGCTTAAAAATAGTCAGTAACAGATATGTACAAATAGACCGGGCGACACACCGAGTGATTATCGGTGATTTAATTCACTCTGGGATCATGAGGAGGGTGAAATCGTTCGGCAGGAATGGGTTTTTAATGATATGTTTCTAACTAATAGGGAAGATAACACACATTATACACGCTTGGGCTTTAGTAACTGAGCCATACCAAACGATGCATCTCTTCACGCAACAGACACTTAGTATGGACTGTGTGCCAGACGCCGGGCAAGAACTTTGCCCTGGGGTCTTCGGTCTAGCACAGAGGATGGGCAACCAGCAACTGAGCTCGCCACCACGTTCATTTGAAGTCACCGACAAGTTGTTGCGACTGCCTGAGAGCAGTCATTGCTACAGATTTGGAGAGCATGGGCTTTGGGGCTAGACGTGGAGGTTCTGAAGCTTGGAACTACTGAACACCACGGAGTTCTGTTCTGTAGATGGTGCGGTCTTTGTTTGTTTGCTTTTGTTTGTTTCCCCGACTTGATACAAATTAGAGTTATCTGGGAAGAAGAACCTAAACTGCCCCCTCTTTTCCTTTTTAAGAATTATTTACTTATGTTTATGAGTGCTCTATTTGTGTATGTGCCTGTATAACAGGAGAGGGCATTAGATACATGGTCATAAGCCACCATGAGGGTGCTAGGAATTGAACTCAAGTCAGTGCTCTTAACTGATGAGCCATCTCTGCAGCCCCTTAATTGCCCTTTGAATGAAGGATTGCTATAATTAGCTTGGCCTGTAGGCAGGTCTGTAGGGTATTTTCTTGGTGAATGATTGATGTAAGAGGGCCTCATCCACTTCGGGTGGTGCTGCCCCTGGGCAGGAGGTCCTGGATTGTATAAGACAGCAGGCTAAGTAAGCTACGAGGAACAAGCCAGCAAGCACTGTTTTCCCATAGACTTTGCTTCACTTCCTGCCTCCAGGTTCCTGCCTTGAGTTCCTTCCCTGGCTTTGCTTCATAATGGACTGTTAACTGTGACATATCAGCCAAGTAAACCCTTCCTTCCCAAGGTGCTTTTGGTCATGGCATTCTATCAAAGCAATGGAAGACAAACTAGAACACTAGGCTAGCTCTTTACCACCAAGCTACACTCTCAGATCTTCCTTCCTTCCTTCCTTCCTTCCTTCCTTCCTTCCTTTCTTCCTTCCTTTCTTTTAAAGATATATTTATTTATGTATGTATATGAGTGATCTATCTGAATGTATACCTGCATGCCAGAAGAGGGCATCAGATCCCAGTACAGATGGTTGTGAGCCACCATGTGGTTGGGGAGAATTGAACTCAGGACCCCTGGAAGAGCAGCCAGTGCTCTCTACTGGCTGCTCTCTCTACTGGCTGGCTCTCTCTTTCCAGCCCTCTCAGAGATTTCTTAAAGGCCTCTAAACACAAATTCCAAGCCAGTGTCTCCTGCAGTGGGCAGCAGCTGACACCTGAGTTGGGTTTATTCAGCCTTTTTTTGTTGTTGTTGTTTTGCTTTGTTTGTTCGTTTTTGTTAAAGGTTACAGCTTTATTAGAAAAGGAGCTGATGGCTAGAGAGACCCCTCTCCAATCTTTCTCTGTGTCCATATATACCTCCAGGGGAGGTCAGGGGGCCATCATAGAAGAGGTATCTGGGAGAATGAAATATGGTAATATTTTCTCCAAAGTCCTCCAACTCCTCTGGCTGCTGTTGAGAATCTTCTGGTAGGAGAGGTAGGAACTTTAACTCTCATCTCCGAGGTCCTCCATATCTACATCCCGAGGAGCTTTTATCTTCTTGTGTCGTTGTTTGGGCTGTGGCTCGCTAGTCCTGGTTGACTTGGAGGGGGCTTCCACATCCCTGGCTGCTTTTTCTTTCTGGGCTAGGCGGGTCTGCTGCAGGAGTTTCCTGCGCTTCTTCCCAGATAGCGTGACGTTGGCACGTGCACTGGACGCCCGCTTGCCGAAGTGGTGCCTTGTAGTCCGCCCTCTGCCTATCACGGCCCAACCACCTGGCGCTTCCACCACTCATCCCTGCTCAGCACTCTGCGGCGCTTGAACAACTTCTCCAGCTCCTTCCAGGGGAGCTTGAGCTTTCCTCCCTGAGGTCCCATAGCTGCTCTTTCATTCAGCCTTCTAATCGTTGTCTCCCTGCACAGGCTCTGGAGATCATGTTCTTACACGTATGACCCATTAACCGGCCAGGATTTCAAGGGAGCTAATATGGAGGACGTGGAGCCTCCCCTCATGAGTCCCTTCATTCTGTCATACCCCCTTTATTTTCCTTATCCAGCTGCCCTGTTTAAGAATCCCACCCTCTGCCAGGGGTGGCGGTGCACGCCTGTAATCCCAGCACTCTGGGAGGCAGAGGCAGGCGGATCTCTGTGTGTTTGAGGCCAGCTTAGTTTACAAAGTGAGTCCAGAACAGCCAAGGCCACACAGAGAAAGCTTTTCTAGAAAAACAGAGGGGGAAAAAATAAGGGGAAAAAAAAAGAATCCCACCCTCTAACTCCTCAGAAGAGGAAGAGCAGCGTGGTCCAGCCCCCTGAGGGGGACACACTGGGCACCGTTGCTCCCTTTCAGGGGCAGGTCTTTTGGTTTTTGTCTGCTTTGGCACAGCAGCAGGAAGATGTTATGGCATGAGCTCCTTCACCATCATCAGCACTACCCTCCTTTTTCCCCTCCCCTCCTCTCTGCTTCCCTTCTCTCCCATCACTCCATCCCCAGCATTTGCATTCTACAATTAATTAATTAATTAATTAATTAATTAATTAATTAATTAATTAATGTGTATTGTAAGACAGTTTGGGGGTTCATTTTCAGGATGCTGTGTACCTCTTTACCTTCTTTGGTAATGCTCTCTTATTGGCCTCGAGCGTGCCAATTAGGCTCTTCTGGCTGGCCAGTCACCCCCAGAGGCCCTCCCGTCTCAGCCTCTACAGTGCTGGTCTTACAAGCTCATTCTACCATGCCCAGCATTTTCACTGTGAGGATCTCAGGATCAAGGCCAGGCCCTCATGTTTGTGCAGCAAGTACTTTGCCAACTGAGCCATCTCCTCAGCCCCTTATCTTTCTGATCGATTGTTAGACAATCCATAGCAGCTCCATGCTACCTCACAAGGCTTCACCTCGCCTCACCTTATCTCAGCTCAACTTACTCCATTTCCCCTCATCTCACCTTCGAGCTACCTCATCTCACATGAGGAAAAATAAAATATGATGACAGAGAGAGAGAGGAGAGAGAGAGAGCCCAATGTTCTTTCTCAGAGAGGTTTGTGGGAAGGGCTGGAATCTTTTCTGGTAGCTTCCCCTATTGGCTGGAAAGAATCTTCTTCATGGAAACTGAAGCATGGGAGCATCAATCTTGTCAGGATGTGGCCATTGCCCTACTCTATAACTTTCAGTTTATGTTCGTTCACCCCTCAGGCATCGATCTTGTCCCATTCGCCTTACGGTAGGGCTGAGTTGGTGCTCAGCCAATGCTTATTTAATAGTGGATGAATAAGCATTAGGTTGGGCCAGGGGAGGCACCAGAGGGTCCTGCAATATGTCCAGAACCTCCTTAGGAAGCTTAACAGATTTTCAAGACCTCCCAGGCTTGTCTCTATGGTGAGCCAGGGCCAATGGTCATCATAGGAAGCAATGACCAAGTTCACAAATTATCCTTGGGTTTGCATTTAAATTCCCAGAGGGAGGGGAAATGTTACCTTGGTTAAATCACGCTTTATGCCTCTGTTGCAGCTGTTACGGCGTGAAAATATTGGCTGAGCTCAGCTCCCTGGTGTGAAATGCAAGCCTCGGGAAATTCAGACGTACTTGTCAATTGCAGCCAGGGTTTCTTTCATTAATGGTCACTAATGGTCTGCAATCAAGCCACACCTGTGAGAGGCAAAATAACAATCGGCTTGTTTGTGTGGAGTGAGTATAATTTATCAACTTGCTGATTATTCATTCTCTCCCAAGGTGTTAGGCAAGGGACATTTGTGCAGAAAGAGGGGGAAATGGCCACTTATCCAGCCTAAGGAGTCAGTGTAGAGTTTTCACCATGTTAGAGGCATACAGTCCAGTCTATAAAACTCTGCTCTGTCACTAACTAGCTGTAGTTGTCCATTTTCTGCTCTTTTAATGGAATACCTACAGCTTGAACAGAAATGAAGCTTATTTAGCTCTCAATCTAGGAGGCTGACAGCACAAGCAGCATGGTACTGGCAAGGGCACCGAGGCGACATCAGCTTATGACAGACAATGTCGTGATGGTAGAAACGTAAAAAAAAAAAAAAAAAAAAAAAAAAGAAAAGAAAAACTCACCAGCTGCTTCCAAGGACTGAGCCCAATGACACAAGGGTTTACCATTAGATCCACTGCTTAAACCAGCCGCCCTCCTCTCCTTCTGTCTATCTCTGTCTCTGCCTTTCCCCTCCCTTTTTCTATCTTTCTCTTTCTCCAGAGTCTCACTCTGTTGCCCAGTCTGGCCTTGAACTTGATATCTTACTGCCTCGGCTCTGCAATGCTCGGATCCCAGCCATCTGTTTCTGTGCCCGGCCTCCACCATCTTTTAGTACTGCTGCACTGGTGAGCATTGGTGAACTTTGGGAGAGTGAACCACACCAAGCCCTTACCAGACCTCAGGTCCTATTTCTCCCCTATGAGGCTGTAGCAATCATATTGTTTTCCCAGGTTGATCGTGTCTTCCACAGAACCCACGTACTACATAAGCCATTCCCGTCCCCTTTTGATGTTTTCCTAGGAATGCTGTCAACGTGTTTAACTGTCTGAAGTACAGCTGTACCTACACATCTCCCTCAGTTCACATTTCTGGTGTCATGAAAGCTCCCTCCATCCCAAGTGAAGAAGAAAGGCTTTCTAACCAGGGTCACAAACAGGTTGCTAGGAGACATTGATATGAGGGCGAGATGGACTGCTGAGCTGAGAACGGTGGCGGAACAAACTCCTGGGGCCACGGGCACAGGCTTCCGGCAGACCCAAGCAGCCCCGTGACTCAGAGTGGTGGCTCCATGCTCATTAGTTCATCAGGGCAGCCATCATAAAATATCCAGGTTGTGTGGCTTTAAACAGTGGGGAACCACTGACTCACAGGACGGTAAGTGGAAGTCCAAGATCAAGGCGCTGGCAGGGTTGCTTTCTCTTTGGGCTGCCAGTGATGTCTTCTGCGCACTTGTCCGTCTGTGTAGGTCTCTGCTCTGCTCTCCTCTTTATAGAAAAGCATCAGCCATATTAGACCCACGAATATGGCCTCGTCTTAACTCGGTCACCTCTTCAAAAGCTCTGCCTCGAAACAGTGTCACACTGAGGTCCTCTGGTCAGGACCTCAGCACATGACATTGGAGGAAAGGACATAATTCAGTCAAATAAATTACAGAATTGCCACTGGAAGAACAGAGTGACCTAGAATCTAGAAGACAAGTTGAACCCTCATTCCCTGAGACACAGAGATATGTTTCATTTGGGGGTTCTGTCTCTACCATTGGGACTTGCTCTTGATGTGGGGGAAGGGTAGGCACACACCCAGCCCTTTCCAGAGACTCCACAGCACTGTCATGCTTTCTTGACACTCTTTCCCAGCCTGTCCTTATCTCAAGGAGCCATAGCATTGGACTGGACAGGAGACTCTTAGGAGTCCTGTTTCATTCTAGTCTTTCTTCCATGGCCTTGACCATCAGCCCTTGCCCTGGTTGGTTTTTTGTCAACTTGACACAAGCTAGAGTCATTTTGGAAGAGGGAATGTCAGCTGGGAAAATGCCCCTCTGCCCCCAGATTGTCCCGTAGGCAAGTCTATGGGACATTTTCTTGATTGATGACTGATGTGGGAGGATGCCATGCCTGGGCAGGTGGTCCTGAGGTGTATAAGAAAGCAGGCAGAGCAAGCTAGTGCACAACATTCGTTCATACTCTGCTTCAGTTCCTGTCTCCAGCTCCCTGCAATGATGAGGTGCAGCCTGGACATTGTAGCCAAGTAAACCCTTTCCTCCCCAAGGTGTTTCTGGTCACAGTCTTTATCACAGCAATAGAAAGTTAACCAAGATACTCTTTTAGCACCCGGCTTAAGCAAGCCTCTGAATTCTATCGCTGAGAGTTTCGAAAGTATGAAATCTTCAAAGAGTAATTTAAAAGAAAATGAGTGTATTTCCCAAGTACCGAAGCTGAAAAATGCTATTCCCATCACTTCTCGTTGGCGTCCTTCCTCTGATGCTTCCAGCTGAGATGCCCTTCTTACTGAAACCAAGCAGAGTCCTGAGCCCTGAAACCTGGCCAGCCAAGATGTCTCTACCCTGAACCGCTGAGAGAGCTGCTGTTGGACCACTTGGAACTTCCCTTGGTAACCAGATCACTGCTAGTTGAATATGAAGCAGCATGCTCCATCCCTGTGGTGTCACCCATGTTCCCCTGCCACAGAGGAAGACAGACAGTCCTCATTGATCCTGGATCTGCTCCTTCCCCAGTTCAGGTTTTGGCTAAGTTGCCAGAGCTCTCCGGGATTCAATGTCCTTAATGGTAAGGAAGGCTAGCAATGGTGCCTCACACTAAGGAACTGCAGAGAAGACTTAGGACCACATCTAGTGCAGGCTGGCTACACGATCATTGAGCTGAGCAGGTAGAAACATTCTGAACAGATTCCTAATAGGGTATGGGTGGTGACGATGGGTAGAAAAAGGGAAAAATGCGTTTCCATGGAGTAACTATATTTAGCAATGAGTCTCTCCAATTCTCTGGTAATGAAAGGACTTTGTTTTGTTCAGAGCCCCCTTGAGTCTCACAATCACACTTATATATAGTGCCTTTTGTCCCAGAATCTTGGAGTAGCTCTGAAATCAAAACATGACAAGAGTTGGATGTTTGCAAAAAGAAAAGCGACAATTTGCTTTTGTTTTTGAACAAGCTCGCCTTCCCTTCCCAGCTTGCAACTTGGCAGCTGGATATGAGCATGCGTGCGTATCTGTCCTGAGCCTAGCCACGAAGGACACATAATGACAACTGCTTGTAGCTCGGTATGGAGATAGACTGATGAGAGAAGTGGGGACCCCCACACACATCCTGAGGCTCAGAAGGAGGAATCAAGAGGTCTGAGCGTGAGGGGAGGCTGCCTTTCCTATCT